CAGCAAATCTCAATCGGGCTATAGAGGCGAGTCGGAACCAGGATCGTGCGGGGGGCTGCTGGGCCATGGAGTTAGAAATCTAGCACGGGACAAGGGAGATGAGGGCTGTGATTAGTTATTGTATAAGTAGCCGTTGGTTTGTTTATTTTGTTTTGTGGCATGGGAGGCTTGTGGTGGAGAGAAAACGCGAAGTATCTGATACTTTGAAGTGACTGGAAGAGAAAGCAACGATGAAGACATGAACAGAGAACGTGTTTAAGAAAAATTTTTAGTCCAGGAGGTCAAAAAATCGGACAAAGCATGCAGAGCAGTTTTGCGTCCGTATTTTTTCAAATAATTTTTTAATAATTCAGTTATTGAAAATTATTAAGAGGTTATTGAGAGTTTATTTGAGTATAATCTCTCAATAACCCCCATTAACCAATTAATAAATCTCGAGGTTCCGGGCTGATATTTTTTGGTGTTATTCGGAGTTTAGTCAGGTTATCAACGATATAACCCTCCAATATCTCCCAAATAACTTCTATATGCACACAAATCTGCATGCATACTCCGTACGTAAATATTTTGGAAGAATACAACACACCAAATAAAGTGGAGGAGCAAAAAAAAGCTTCGGTGTATCATGTCTGTTGTCTGAAGGTAACTTACGTTCACACGTCTGACGTAATATTTTTTCTATTGGATGGCACCGATTGTTCGTAGGTGTTGTATCCACATCTAATTTTTTTTTCTCCAGCATGCATGTGTACCCCATTTAGGGTCTGTTTGGAAGCTGTTACGGGGAATCTGCTACGGGAAATCTGCTGCGAGGATGCTAGCTAGTTGTTTATTAAGCTGTCTGAAAACAATTGTGGACCAGCTGTTTCTGTACAAATGACCACCGTGCCCATGTGTGGCGGTGTTATTTATAAGAGAATATAAAATAAGTTTTTTATTAAACAAATTATTTCTTAAGTAAAAAGTTAACATAATTAATAATTAATTAAATTTATTAATTAAGAAATTTTATATTTTTATCAAATAGTTTAAAACTTAAACATATGTTTATAAATTAATTAATCAATCATTAAATAATATTATATAAATTTATCTAGTTCTAATTAATTTGAAAATATAAGAATTAATCATAAATTATTAATCAATTAAATTAATAAAATCAAAATTTAAATAAAAATAAATTAAAACCATAACCCCATCTTCCTCATCCTCCACTCCGTTCCTATCAGAAACCCAGTAGGGAAGGCAAAGACGGGATAGCGGCGAACAGAGATCATCGAAACTTCCATCTCTCTCATCCTCTACTTCATTCCAATCAGAAACCATTGAGGAAGGTAGTATGTTTGTACCATTCTTTCTCTTCGTCGAACAATACTGAGACAACAGAGGTGTTCTGGTGAAGCCTAGGTGCTAGATGAATTAAAAGATCAAAGGCAAGGAAGGGGCTTCGGCTCTGTCACGTGTGAATAAAATAGAAGATCGCCGCTTGTGCGTAGGAGGATCGAGCAGCTAGGCTTGTGAATCGTGTGACACAAGGAGGAGCAGGAGTTTCGTTGGCTTCTCTATGCCGCGATCCCCTCGTTACTTTTCCCGATCGCAAAAAAGGGCAGGGGTATCATCGACTAACGCTCTCCAAGAACGTGAGACGCACGATGCGATCTGCGGTCCGTGTTCCGCAAGATTTGAGTCCGCCACGAGCGGGGTGCCGCACCAAAAAACAAAAGTCGCGGCGACGCCAGACTGCGATGCTCTCATATCGCAATCGCAAACGGGCCTTAATTTTTTCTCGAGCATGTATGTGCACTTATCTTTTTCGGGGATATTATTACGTGCATTAGGATGGTTTCACATCATCATGAATCACATAACGGTCTGTTCAGATTATTGCTCGAATGTATAATTATCACAAGCAATTATTTTTTATGTACACTGTATATTTATAGATGATTGATTGTCTGTACACAAAATGCAATAATTTTTCCCGATTTAATGAATAAATGGGCCAGCATTCTTCTGCTTGCTTAATTTGTACCATTAAATGATTAGTGTTTATATGTGTAAGTTACATTTGTGCTAGTTCAACTTTGGCTGTTAGTGGCTCTTTTAATTTTTTTAGGTTTTGTAATACTTATGTTTGAAATAGTTTGTGCACTTTCATGTACAACTCGATCGTATTCATCAGTACATTTCAAATTTCGACTCAAAATTAGCTTGAAAATTAAAAAAATTTGAATAAATTCAAATAATTTAGGCCAAAACAATCTGAACAACGGCTCACTTATTTAATAAATTATTGAACATGAGCTACTTAATGAGCCGAACAAAACTGAATGATCATCCTTTTTTACAACCCTACAAATATACGACTATTTGAATAATGTTAGGCCAAATATTTATTTGTGATTTTTTTTAATTTTTTCGAACGGATGATATGAATACTTATCCATTTAATTTTTAGTAGTTATATCTTTTTTTTAAAATATTATTTTATTTCAAATATGTTTCTCCCTTCTAAATACTTAAAGGAATATATATATTTTAAAATCAGTTTTAATTAACAAAAAATATCAGCAAATCTTTATGATCATATATTTATAAATAATTGCAATTGAAACAAGAGAACTGTTTGAAGTTAATGGAAATGAGAACTAAATGAATTTTTGTTTGACTTAAATTTGATTCACTTGAAATTAAATTGTTTTAATTCCAAATTGATTAATGATGACTTTGATAAATTTTTTTCCAAATTTGGTATTAAATTATGAAATAAAATTTTCATATTTGTAATGAAAATATTAATTGATGATATTAAAAAATAATTATTATATTAATTATTATATCATAATCTAAATTTTCACTTGGAAGGAAATACATTCAAAAAGATGAAAACAAAATCACTTATAAAATGATCTACAATCAGTTGTCTCATTACTCTTTGATATATCATAAAAAACATATTTTAACATGATGAATAAATATCTTTTTAATCATGTTGTATACACAAATACTGGTATACAGAGAATTATATTCTATCATTATAGGAATTTAGCATATTTGCGTTGGATAGAACAAACACAAATCAAACGTAAATTCGCCAATATTTAAAGGCAATCTCGAATTTGCGTCTGATTTCTTCCGACCTTAAATAGTGGGCCGGTAATTTTGTTTTCGTTTAATTTACGTTGAAATATTCCGACTCAAATAATTTATGTCAATTTTTGTGTCATATTAGCGTCGGATTTGTTTATGCATAACGTGCGTCAAAATTTTGTATGAAAATATCCAACGATGAATCTTAGCGTCAGATTACAATCTCATTTGCATCGGAAAATCTCATAGAACGACAAAAAAGTATTGTAGATGTACCGACAAATTTTGCATTCGAAAATGGATCCAAATCTGACACAAACCTGTTACATAGAAAAAAAAATTAGAATACCATATACATTTTTACAACTTGCACAAAAACACATTCCACATTACAGACCACTTTAAGCAATCATATCTAACCAAATAAGAATATTAAAGTTAATCCAAAAAATTTTACAACAAATGTTTAACATAATACTTACAAATAAAAGAAAACATAAGAAAAAACTACTCATCATCTTTATCCTTCTCTTCCTCCACTTGCACTAATATCATCGACTACTTGCCCTGGCTATCTGCTAAGGCCTCCGCCATGCACGCTATTGTCGGCACAATTTTAGTTAAGGAGTTGCCCGTTGGAAGTTGTCGGTCGTCGGAATCGAAATCTCGTCGTCCGTTTTGGAAAGAGATTTAATTTACATATAAAAATAAATTTAGAAAAATATGAAATCAAATTGATCCCATATCCTTCATAGGTTAAATGAAAGAGCACTATATCTGAAGCTATGTATCTATCCCAAAAGAAAACCACAAGATTTGAGGGTGAGACTCGATCAAATAAACTAAGAAATGTATGACATTCGTTTGGTCTACGAAAACCATCTTATTTATCAGCCGACAATTCCCCTATTTAATACGAAGAAGGGTTTATATTAAGATGGGTTCGGAAAAGCTTCCTATAAGGGCAAACCCCTAAAGTTAGTTACATCTTAGATAACCGAAGTCACCTAAGAAAACTCTCAATAAAAAACAGGGAATATTATCTTCAAAGAGGTCAAAATGATAGGACTTTTCAACGAGATCGAACAAAGAGGTGTGAAAAGGGAATGACTCAAATTTGGAACATTTATTGTAAAATCCAGACGAAGAACTAGAGGATGTCACATACCCGAAGGAGAACCTCAGTAACTTCCAAAGCCATCCTATGGTTTGGCATCAGTTTTGGAGTGAAATATTTAAATGTTTCATCTTGTCAATTTTATTAATTAGGGCTTACACTCACGTGAAATGATCACACAAATAGTCTGGAAGGTGTGAGGATTTAGGTCGTGACGAATGACAACCTCAAAATCTTGAGACGAGTTAGGGCTTATATTGTACAACAAAGCCATACAAAGGCCTAAAGATAAGTTGAGAATTTATGTTGCATAAACAATTCACCTGGAAGTTCTATGGTGTGGTTATTTAATTCTAAAGAAAGAGTGGTTTAGCTGATGTAGGCATGTTTTGCTATTGAAGCTGGTTATGCTTCCCAAAATACTAGCTCCAAGCTTCTCGTCGCGGCAAGTTTAGGTTTTCTAATGTGTCAAGTTATGATATCAAATCAGATGTCTTTAATGTTATTGTTATTTAAATATTATGGGGCATATTAAAGTTGATTAGAGTGACACCAGTTAGGATCCTACGGTTCCCTCATTCCGACACCACTATTTTTTTTTTGGATTCACTTAGTCCAATTAAATTTACTAAATTCAACTTAATGAGTTCCATACTTTCATTTAAACCGTGGGAAATCTCGTTAGCAACCGTAGGTTTCCTCCTCCGAAGGATTCCCGATCATCCGATAGAGACGTTTTAATATGGTTGCATTTTTAGTTTTTTTTTTTGTGATTAAATTTTGAGTTGTTTTATATTTTGAATGTTGTGGCGGTAAATTTTATCTTGATTGATTTTTAATTTTAGTTTTGGTTCTATGACTATCCTAGCAGTTTTGGTTTTCATGCAGGGTGACATCGTTGATTGATTTTTAATTTAGATAGAAATCTTTTCAGATCTAAAATGGCTATAATAAAATCTCTATCAAAGGGATAGTTTTAAAACATAAGTTTTTGATGCCCATAACTACAGTAAAACATATGA